GGGAATGACTGCTGCTTTTTGCAGAAATGGCTACATGGTAACTTGACTATGAAGTATTTCTCCCCAGGGAGAGTAAGAAGTTGATGAGGAACAGATTTAAAGCTCGTGTCCCAAATAGGACAACTAGTACTAACTAGTGATTTTTATAAAGGGAATGGAGGTTATGTGTCATGGATGTGAATGCTTATTTAGCCTTTACTGGTTTACAATAGTTAACCTCAAGGAAACACTAGGACACTTAATTATTTATAATATTCAACTAGATCGATCACAGGATTATGGCAAAAGTTAGCTATTTTATCATAGGTTTTGCTTAATGTGCATTTACTGCTCTGAGTCCTTTGTTGCTGTCCTCGCTTCCTCTTATGGGTTTGCATAAATACAGGAAGAAAGATTACATTTGGTGGCATCAATAAAGGCACATTTCAGCTTAAGCTGATTGTTTGATAGGATTTTCGTATAGTTATCATTTAACTCTTGGATGTGAATTTTCATAGCTGGTTTGGCTGTTGCATTTTGTGAACAGAAAAGATTATTGGCAAACAAGTCTGATCTCCATAATGTAAGTCATGGAGTGAAACTGTAATGTTGGCTTGCTCTGCAACTGCAGCATTTTATTTCTGAAAGTGGTGTGTTTTGTTGTTTGCAATGGGATGTTGTAGCTAGAATGTCAACATTGATTCTACATTTTAACAAGTTTTACTGGACAAGTATTTTGCAGACTTATGATAGAGTTGAAGAAAAATCATAATCAAAGGGAGGAAAAATGTAGCATTGCCGCAATGAAGTATAAGAGGCTGACAGTAAAAACTACAAGAACTGAAAGCAATCACAAGTACTAACAAACCTGGCAGCTGTTGAGAGATGGAGCTCTTGAGTTTTTGGAAAAACTTTCTTATGTGGAAATGCATGCAGAAATTAAATTTGAAATGTGGAATCAGCAATGAATTAGTATACACTGTGGTATCTTCATCAGTTTTGTTAGATAATATATACCCATACTGTTGGTTTGTTTGTTTTATGGGCCTGCTAGGTATTTATAAAGCTAGGGGCCTTTATAAATTTTGCATTGCGTAATAGTTCTTAAAGATAGATTTGAATGCCCTAAACCAGTATTGCCTATTTATTGCCAAATACTCAATTCTGCTTGCAAGCAAAATACTTGTTTAATTAATCAGCTGTGTTAAATGGAGCTTGGTCTCATAAACAATAACAGATGAAGAGCTTAATTATTAACAGTTATGCTTTTTTAAACTTACCGTCATTTGAATGGGAGAGCTTTTTTAAGCTGTCTTTTAGTGCATAAGTCTTTCTGCCAGTAGCTTTTCATATCTCTTTCTGATGGTATCCATCACATCAAAGGCAAATTACATATATTGGCCCTGTTTCCCTTTATGTACTGAGTTGTCACATTGCCCTGTGTGACTTCCTACTGTGAAACTGATGCAAAGCTGTTTTTAATAAATGAATGTAAATGGCCATTTGAAGTCTCAGTCTGGCAGAACCATACAGTTGAGTAAAGAAAAAAAAAAACCAAATCAAAACCAAAAAAATGAAGTAACTTTAATCCTGCTTATGCTGTGATTTCCTTCCAGTTGAAGAGTAGACTGTGGTATTTCTAAATGTTCAATTACATTCTTCTGTATCAGTGTCTTCTATCCATTGAATGTGCTTTCCCCTAAGTGGTTTATACTGCTGCTTCCTCTGTTCTATTCTCTTCACTACAACGGCAAGTGAAGGGTCACATACCTTCCTGCTGTTGAATCTCGTACCTTTTCAGCATCGTCATTTTGTCAAGTATCACTGCTTAACCTTCCTTTAATTTGTCTTATTTATTGTTTTATGTAATGTGATAGACTAGTCTTGCAGGGAATAGGCTATGCAGAATTAGTAAAACTTCCTCACTTTGCATTGAACTCATCATAATAGTGAATTGTAGTGGACTTTGTGTGGCTTTAACTCTGTACACTTTGGATGGCAATCTCTAATACGAGCAAGCAGATGTGAAAAGAAGGAACAAAACTATTACGTCTGCAACTTCTTAGAAACTTGTGTGTGTGTGTGTGCCTTAAGTTGCTGCTGCTTTTATCACTTGCAGCTTAAAATACTGATTTGAATACTACTCCTTCTATGTAACTTACATAGAAAAGGAATGTAAATGGCAAGGCCAACTGCATGACAAGAGAGCATAATGTTGCTGAGAATTAACTTGAGTGACATTATTTAAAAAAAAAAAGACGACTTCCCCCAGCCTTTCATTCATTAACTTTTATTTTTGCTTAACTGGGAACTCTTTAAGAACAGCATAACAAAGATGTCATTGTACTGCCAGGAGCTTTGCTAGCTGGAGCTACTGCTGCAGTTAATTTTGTCTTTCACATATATTCAGATGAAAATTAGTATTGTAGGATATTTGCTGTAATGATCCAGTTTTAAAATTGTTAATTGAAATTTGGACTTGGTGTGGCAGCAACAGCTTCAGCTAGTGGAAGAAAAAGCAATCCTTGTCAGGAGGATCTTTCTGTCTGTGAGTCTTTAGTTCAGAACAGAAGTGGGAGTAAGAATTAATATCAATCACCCACCTTCCTGTTCTTATGTTGTAGGAAAAACAAGGAAGAATATCCATGGGTTTAATGCAGAAGAATAGCCATGTGAATGGATATTTTCTGGCCTTTTTCTTCTCAAGAAAATGCATGGGAGACTGTTGTTGTTGACTTCACCAGTCAGTTTTGCTGTACTTGTGTATTAAGCAGAGAAACTAGAGTAGTAATGTATTTGCTAAACTGGACCATACTTTCTCTCTGGCTGCTCCAATATGCCTTCTGCAGATCCAATGTGCTGTCTTTAAACAAAAAATGAAATTTGAAATAACAAAGATGAGCTGGGCCAAGTCACTATGCTGATCTGCGTGCATACACCTTGCAGCTTGATTTGAATAATTGTTTACCTAGTTTCTACTTTATTCTGTATCATCCTTTATTTTTTGTTTCAGGAAACAAAACCAAGAATACTACTTATTTAAGAATAACATTTTTGTGGGCCAACTTTCTGGGGTATCTCCCAGCAAAAGTAGTAACAGAATTCTGAAGAAAACTCACCTGAAGCATACGTGAAAAAAATTAAAACACTGTCTGACAGTGTCCTGACCCAGCTAGACTTGCTCTATTTCTGTGCCCCTGGCTAGCAGGTTTTCTTTTAACCTGAAACTTTCTGCTAATGCACATGTTCAGTCTTCTATCCAGATAGTTAGCTGCTTTTCTTAGGTAAGAGGGTTTAAAAAAAAAAAAAATAAAAGCACTACAGGTTTTAGGCCATCACAGAGTTTGTGATAGCCATGCCTTCAGAATCTTCTACAGTTTTCTCTGGAAGAGAAGCACGTATTCACTGCCAAACATATGACCAAGCCCTGACCTTATTTTCAGACTAATGAGTATAGATCTATAAGTTCATTTCTTACACATCTTGGCTTGCTGTGAAACTAGTTTTATGTCTGAATGAGGCTGTTATTGATTTATATAGGTAGTTGATTCTTATATCCCCATTAAATTGAGAGTTACAAAGAATATTGTTAAATAACATGACAACAGCTAGACTGATCCAAAGATAGAATAAAGAAGCTAACAGACTGGGTTTTGTGTACTAAACTTTTTCTCCCGTAGAGCACACAGAACATCAAATAAGCTCTCATCTGATGGTAAACACTCATAATACATTGAACCATCTGAATTATAAATTATTAGCCTTCTTGCTATGTGTTCCTTTTTATTTTTGGTTCCTGCAGAGTTAGGAAAACAAAGCACATGGTGGCATTGCCATCTATGCACATGTCTAAAAAAATCATCTATTCAAATGGGCTATGTATTAATTTTTAATTCTAGCACCATTTGTTAATGAAATTTTGTTTAGTTCTGTAAAACAAGTCTGCCCACATAAGTGTGTGTCTCCTCTGAGAGTGATGAATTGCTGAATGAATTGGGCATAAACCCAAAGGGAAATAGATAATGCCACCCAGGAATAAAGTCTAATCTTTACACTCCAAATTCAGTTTGGTCATCATAGCAGGCCACAAAAATTACTTTTTTAAAAAAAAAAAAGTGCCTTATTCTTAGTGCTACAATGAGAGATTTACATATGCTCTGCTAAATCTACCTGTCAAGCTGAAAATTCTGCAGCTTTAAAATAACACTAATTTTTATGCAAGACAAGTTCCTGCTTCCTAAAACATGTCTAATGATCTCATTCATTATGTATGCAGAATTTTCCTTACAAAAGTAAGTCTTACAATTAGGGTTAAATTCAGCTTGCTGTAAATGCAGAGTAAATTGGCTAAGTTTGAACTCACACCAGCAGAATGTGCACTTCAGTGCAGAATGTGGTTCCTAATTTGTTGCTTCTGAGTGGAAAAAGTACAGTTATTATTTTTCCTAAGTGCTATGTACTAGAATACTTTTGAGTAAGAAGTTTATTGCAATTTGCCCTTTCTTTATTTTGCACATGCTAAATTTATTACTAAAGAATTTTCCTATTGGAACTTCTCTGCCAAATAGGAAACAGAGAAGATAATTTTCTAATCACTTTATAGGGTTTAAATAGTATACAAATTTGTAGAATTCATTACACACAAATTTTAATAATCCAAAGTATTGGTATAAAGGACCTTCAAATAAAATCAACTAGGGGTATGCCATTACTGTGCTTCAGGAAAGAAAAAGCAGCACTGGTTACTATCCAGCTACCTAAAGAAATAATACTGCAGGAACAGGAAGTGATAAAAACAAAGCACTTTTTAAACCTGTTTTGCATTGTGAATTAACATAGTTTAATATTTGAAACAATAAAAAAGTTTGCATCACTTGATGATGCAAGTATTAACACGAGTTTGTAGAATTCTATACAGTATCTGCTAAATAAACAAGTTTGGCAGCTTAGCAAATATCATATGATTGCAGCATCCATGATTTGAATTCAAACAGTGATTTATTCCTCTGCAAAGAGTTTGTGAATCAGAATACCACACTCCTGGGTTCTGGATGGTGTCTGACCCCAATGAGTTTGAGGAAAGTATTTTTAGTGCCTGGACCCTGTGCAGAACTGTCCAAATCAAACGATTGTCTCCTTTGAGTTCCTTTTGAGGGACTGCAGGCCCAGCAGGGACTGCTGGTTGGAGGGGGCGTTGGCAGACTTTGGGATTAGGAGTATCACCCGCTGATTGGTCCGACGCCATTCGTTGTATAATCTACAGTGATACCTAAAGGATACCTGGGGAGAGAAGAGAGATGCACTGCATTCAGAGTCACTGGAGTCCTCCAAGGAACCAGTTGAGGTTTGGGGGAAAACGCCTTCAAGTGGAACAAAAAGCTGATAAGCAGCCAGATAAAATCCCAGCCTTAAGGGTGGAATAAAAATGAGGAAAAAGCAGCGGGCAAAGATTAGACCTATCATGTAGGTGGCTTGTTCCCCAAGTTGCCACAGCAGAGAAGAGCAGCCTATGCCCTACTTCCTGCTGTTACTTACCTCTTATCCCACTTTTTATAACATGAAAAATCAAATGTCTTGCCCTTGTCTTTCCCAAGAGCTGGAATTGTTGGCAGCCACATACAATAAAAATGAGTTTGGGGTACCGTTATGCTGCAGGTTGTTAAACTGACAAATAATGTAATTGACTGAATGGTGAAGGCCTGTAGGTAGCTAAGCTGTGTGCAAACACTGACAGGGTTGTATGTTGTACCTTGTAATATTTTATTGCTGAATGCATCAAAGTCACAATTGCATAGATACAACAAGGTGAGTGTGAGCTATCTGCCAACACGTGTGTATCTCAATTTTAGATTGTCTTTGAATTTTTTTTTTATTGTTATCAGCTACTCAATTTCAGCCTTAGTGTGATTCTGCTAATAGTGGAAGAGAAATGACTGACTGCTGTGGCTCTACAAGAGAGCTTGGTCCTGTACTTTTTTTTTTAAACTAGTTGACTGCTTATTTTAGTGACAGCCAAGTCTAATGAGAGTTATGTCTGTGTAAGATGATGTATATGGGCAGTTTTAAAACAAAACAAACCTGTAAACTGGCTTGGGACCTTTTGGGTGAAACGTGCCATATGACAATTATCATGTTCTTAAGCTGTGAGCAGGAGGGACCCACACAGTGAGCCCAGGAGGAACCTTGCCTTGTCAGCTCTTCTGTCTTCATATCCAGCTGGTCATTTGTCACTGATTTTTATGCACCTCTGCCACTTTTGTAGGTCATAGAATCACAGAATGGTTTGGTTGGAAGGGACCTTAAAGACCATCTCGTTCCAACCCCCCTGCCATGGGCAGGGACACCTTCCACTAGACCAGGTTGCCCACAGCCCCATCCAGCCTGGCCTTGAACACTTCCAGGGATGGGGCATCCACAGCTTCTCTGGGCAATCTGTTCCAGGGCCTCATCACCCTCATGGTGAAGAATTTCTTCCTAATATCTAATCTAAATCTTCCCTCTTCTAGTTTAAAGCCATTACCCCTTGTCCTATCACTACATGCCCTTGTAAAAAGTCCTTCCCCAGCTTTCTTGTAGGTCCCTTTTAGGTACTGGAAGGCTGCCATAAGGTCTCCTCGAAGCCTTCTCTTCTCCAGGCTGAACAACTCCAGCTCTCTCAGCCTGTCTTCATAGGAGAGGTTCTCCAGCCCTCTGATCATCTTCATGGCCTCCTCTGGACTTGCTCCAACTGGTCCATGTCCTTATGCTATTCAGAGGGCAGAGAGTGCCATAAAGGCTGGAGGTAAGATGATTGGTTTGCGCAGGAGGGTGGAAGATGCTGCTGACTGTTTGCAGAGAAGTGGCTGTGTGTGCTGCTGTCAAAAGAGGCTGACCTGCTTGCTTTCCTAGCCCTACAGCAATGACAGCCTGGCTGCCAGTGAGGTTTAGGAGGGATATTAAGTAATACACATGCCTGTGAATGCATCTTCAAAACACCTTCGTTAGTGCAAAAAGAGCGCTAAATAAAAGATTTACCTTTCTACAAAACCATACTAGGGACAAAAACAAGACCTTTTTTTGTTAGATCTTTATATGGCTGTCTGCTCTTAGTGAGAGAAACCTATAGAGCTTTTTTTTGTTCACTAAGCTGCCCAAAGACAGCTCTTCCAACAGATGATTTGATTCCCCACCTTTCAATCTACTCTGCTCCCGCTGAAGGGTAAAGCAGTCTGCATCTTTGTTTCTGTGGAACATCATATATGAAAGAATATGAGAAATCTCTTTTAAAAAGGCACTGCAGTATCAGCAGAAATCGGGGGGGGCTGCAGGGCGCGAAACAAAACAACAAAGAAAACCCGACCCGAAAAACAAACCACCTACAAAGATGAATGCCATGCAAAATGCAGTGACTGCTTCAGAGGAGTGAGCTAGAGATTAGGTTGAATTTTCAAGTAGCATCACATGAGATTCTTTCAGGAATGGTTGCATTGTTAAGCCCAGGCTTTAACTGCTTGCTTGTTTAAGGCATTTTCACAGGATATCCTAGTTAAGTTTGACAGCTTGTTTACAATGGGTTCTTGCCTGGAGGTAGTTTCCAAGTGATGTCAGCTACTGCATTTCAGCAGAGCCATGGTTACTCACCCTAAGCTGTTACACTGGATGCAAACTCTGGAGATGCTGAACAAAGGCCAGCTTTACATCTACTTAAAACAAAAGCTTTACTAATCTCTGTTGTTCGCCTCTTCAATAGGATAGCAAGGGGGGTATCTATCTTTGTAGCTTATTCTGAATTAATTTGAGCTAGCCTTTGTTTTAAACCAGCAGTTAGGTTATACTGGAAGGTATAAGGCTAAATCCTGTTGTACTCCAAGCTGCTACTTGATCTTGCAGGAGTCAAGATTACCTGCGTGCAAGACAGAGCAGAGTGTGGCCCTGAATTCTTAGTTTAAATACTGATTTCTGGTTTGTGTTTGAAGCTTTTTTCTTGGGAGTAGCAGGCTTTTTTTTTGTGTACGTACATCAGTTACAGTGATTAAATGCAGAGAAGAAGTGACAGCATTTTACGGCGAACTTGGTTGTTTTAGGGCAAGGGATAAAATAGCCTCTTGGATGCTAATAATAGCATGTCTTCTGTTCTCTGCTTACTGGGATAACTGTGGTGTGTAAATAAGCTATATGCCAGCTTTTGCCTCCAGAGAAAATAAGCTGATTTATTAGAAGTAAAATGAAGTTTTAGTTTTCTTAATTTTCCCAGGACCTAAAGGAGCATTATATCACATGTTGTGTGTAATTTACCCCACAGCACTTAATACATTCCCTGCACAGCCATAACTAAGCAAGCAGTACAGGAGTCTCCCACTTCTGAAAAATTAAAGGGCAGGTGCTGCTGAAGCACTTGATGGGGTTAGCACTTCTGTGTGCAAGTCCATTCCTTGCTTCTGGGCAAGAAGAGTGTGGAGCCTCCCCAAGGCAAATGCAGGCTGGGGCTTTCCTGCATGACTGATGGGTCTCAGGCCGCTAAGCAGAGAGTGGGCATGTCTTCCACATGTAGGGTGCTCAGTGCCATTTGTAAAGTAGTTGCTTTAAACCTCTACCTTGACTTTGCTAATCTGCCCTCTGAGAAAGCATGTGAAAACACTGTCATTCAAGCCTTAATCTGCAGGTATACTTAAACCTCCTCAAAATTCTTCCATCCAGTGCTAATGCTGTGAGGGCAATGAGGGCACCTTCTGTACTGTGAAGACAGCCTGAGAGTCCTTCCCACCGTGTCTCTCTGCTCTGCCCACTGAATTAATCCCATGCTGGACAGGAGGGTTACTGTGCCCTGAAAGGCTTTCTGCCTTGCCCTTCCCTGATAAATACAGTGTTTCATGAGCCCATCCACCTCCTGCTGCTCTGAATAATAGATTAGAGTGGAATTACATCTTCCACAACTCAGTGGACACTAAAGATACTGTATTTCAATTAAATCAACCAAGGTAGGCATTTACATCGGCTTACTATCACCACATTCTCTGTGTGCCAATAACACATTTCTCTGTATGCTTTTGAAGGGGTAAAAGTTATAAGGTGAATAGAAGGGATTTTTGCCACTTAAAATGCAAATGACAGTGTTAGGGACTACAGTTGACATGCTGCAGAAGTCTTAATGAGCAACATCAGATATGTCCATCTGTCATGGTTAACTACGTCCAACTACATAGCCAGACTACCCTTTCCAACTTCCAGCCATTTTGGTGCTTGTGAATTATGTGTATTAGGTAAATTGGACAGCATTTGGGTTTCTAAGACAGTCATACACAAAGGAAATTTGAATAACCTTTCTTGAATACCCAATAGACACATCTACACACAGTACTGCAGGAAATACAAGTGCTAGCCCACTGCTGGAGTTTGATGGCCATCATGTCAAAGGGGAGTGTTGCTGCTGCTTCACTGAAAATGGAAGTAGAAACAACAATAAGGGAAACTGCAGGAGGCTGAGACAAAACTCTGAGATTTCCCTACTATTGTGTCCTGCTAAAATTAGCCTGCAGTCCTCTATGGATGAGACAGGGTTTCACTGTTACAAATGAAGTAAACAAGGTGTTACCTTTCATAGCTTTCTTGGAGCTAGTTGTTAGGTATCATGGGGTTTTTGTGTTTCCCCCCACCTCCCCTTTTCCAGGCTTCCTCTGGGCTCAGCATAGGGGTTTCTTGCTGTGGGCTAGCTCACTAATGCAGTTCTTAAAATGCCACCTTCTCAGGAGCTTACACTGATCAAAAACTGCTGGAAGGGGTCAGCCACACTCGTATGGCCATACCCCCTGAGGGGGAGAGCTGGGCGCTGGCCCCATGGGATTAGTGGCCATGCCAGCACCACGGCAGCATGGGCTTGCACCCACCCAGGGCAGCACAGGCTCAGATGAGCTCCTCCTGTCACAGCAGCAGAACCTTGCACCTTCGCACGAGCATTACACTATTAGTGTGAATGCTCCCTGTCTGCAGCCACTGCCCTGTCCTCCTCCCCCGACCAGAGCTAGAAGTGTGAAATGTCAAACTCAACAGTAACCTGGGGTTTTCAGTGACCTGCGAGACCATGGCTTGATAAACAATTTTGGCAGCTGTCCTCTGGGTTCCCTTCATTTCTGCTGGGCCAGGTGTTTGTTGGTGCGCTGGGGCCAGGAGCTGGTCTCAGTTTAACAACTTGGTACAAAACAAGTGGCTTTTAGGATGGATTGGCACACAAGTGACAGCACACCTGGGTGCAGGATGGGAATAAGGCAGTGATTAAGTCTGCACTGCAAAGGCAGCCACATTTCTATGGACCTGGGTGTAAGGTATGTTCTACCGTGGACTTCCCACAGTGCCATGAGCAGGAGGAATGTGGAAAGCATGGGATGCACCTACATCCAAGGCTTTTGAATTGTAAAATTGACCAGATGTTGGATTAGAATAAAATCTGAATCCTCTGTGGCAGACAGGTTGTTCACCTAAAACTTTTTTGTGTGCTGTGTCTTGACGTTTTGCACATTCTCCTTGATGAAACCCCTTGCTTTAGCATCAGTCTTGAACTCCTCCATGTTACTTCTTTGTCTCCTTCTCTTGCTAGCCCCTCTGGTGTTTGGGATTTGGGAATTACTGACCCCAAAGGCAAACTGTCTTTCTGGCTTTCCAGAGAACTTGAATAGGGTGGAACCAAGACGTTTTTTGCAGATGTAATTTAAATTTATCAGTACAGAAGGTATATAAAAGCAATGCTTTGCATAGCGGTCCACCCACTCTACAGAACTGTGTAATTGATTTTCTGATTTGTTCTTTCCCTTATTCCTTTGAGTTGAATAGAAAACCAATACTTACTAGGGTCCAAAAGAGGTAAATAGTGAAGAGTGCGACAGTGAGTGCAATGAGGCCAACAGCTTCTAGCCTACTACTAAAGTGCAGATGGTCCACTGCTCCTCGTAGACACAACCAGCCAGAGATGGTTGCCAGCGGAGTGATAAATAAGAAGCACACCATGTCTCCAAAAAGAGTCCGTTTCTCGTGCTGGGGGCCTGGGTTCTTCAGCCACTGCAGGCAAAATGCAGACAAAGCAAGTGTCAGCACAGGGAGGACGTTTTACCCGAGATTAAATTCTCGCTTGCAAAACGCAGACCTGCCCCTTTGAGGAGGTAACATGGACCACACGCAGGAGTGGCTTTGGCTGTCCCTAGAGAGCTCCCACCTGAACTTCTCCCCTCGCTGCCTGCTGATGTGCACTTTTAGCCATGCATATCTACCACATCGTTTATTCAGCTGTAGTAAAGGCTGCCTTCCGAAGGCAAAGTGTTTTGCGTAGCGCAGCCCTTGGCATTAGGCTGCTGAACTGCTTGAGAGACACCCTTCTTAACATGGAAAGACTCACACGCTCTCCTGACAACTCAAGAGTGCAGAAAATATTTGTTAATATTTTGTATGCTATTTTAAGATTGTAATTTTTTTTACATTCTGATTGTAATATTGGCAAAGTCATCTTCAACTTGCTTTCAAATATCTGCATGCTAGCAGAGTTGAATGCACACAAGGTTACTTTTATTAAGAGGATATTAATCTTGCAAAATAGCTCCTGAAAGTCAATGGCTGAAGAGAAGGTTGACTGAACAGCTAACAAGCCCACACGCCCATGTTTCTATAAACAGCATTTTAGATAGCAGAGGTGAAAGAAGTTCAGCCTACAACAGTACACTTGAGACTGTTTAATAAAAAAACCCCCTCATCACTCAAGTCAATATTTGAACAGAAGACTACCAAGCCCTGCAATTTTTGCCAATGTAAGCTGCAGGATTTGACTGCAGCATATCCCCCCCCTTTTTTTTTTGTTGTTGTTCTTTGAGCATGTAACTGTATCCACAGTACTACCAAGGTTAGCAAATATTTCTTACTGTGGCACCTGCGAACCCCAACCAGCCTGGGAGCTGTACATACTACCCTAGCCACTGAGGGCAAACACACCACGTACTGCACAGCACCATGTCTGCCCTACAGAGTCCATGATCTAAGCAGGCATCAAAGCTGGGAATGGACAGTAAAGGTGGAGTGAGCTGTGACAACCCCAGATGCCTGTGTGGTCGGAGCTGGGTGCAGGGCAGGCTATTGATTCCCTCTCTGGAACATCCCTTCCAGGCCCCAGCTCCAAGTGCAGAGGTGATGCTGAAGGCAAGGAAAGTCATGCTCCTCCAGGGAGCTATTGCATTAACTGTCATCAGCACAACAAGAAACCAAAGCCACTGCGGCTCTGTGCCAGTGGACATGGATAAGGCTCGTGCATCCTTAAATTGTTTGGCTTTTTCATTCCCCCCAGTGTATTACACCTGCCAGCAGCAGTTCTGTCTCTTTAGCTCCAGAAACTAAGGTTGGGGAGGCAACTTCATCCCTTCACCAGTTAATGCCCTTTATTCCCAGCCACCTCAGGTTTTTTTTCTTCTTCCCTGTTACAGTGCTACAGCAATGACACAGAGGAACAGCAGGACTCAAGAGTTTTGACAAGAGAGGGCAAGGTTAAGGGCATTGTGCAAGTTAATGAATATTTCTCACCTAGGTATCCCATATCTCTATCACAGAATCATAGAATCGTGTAGGTTGGAAAGGACCTTTAAGATCATCAAGTCCAACCGTTAACGTAGCATGGCCAAGTCCACCACTAAACTATATCCATAAGCACCATATCTACATGTCTTTTAAATGCCTTCAGGGATGGTGACTCTACCACTTCCCTGGGCAGTCTGTTCCAAATTGACTGAGACTACACTCAATCCCCTCGTCCACATCATTGATAAAGATATTAAACAGAACTGGCCCCAATATCAAGCCCTGGGGAATACCACTTGTGACTGGCCGCCAACTGGATTTAATTCCATTGACCACAACTCCTTGGGCCCGGCCATCCAGCCAGTTTTTCACCCAGCGAAGAGTGCGCCCATCCAAGCCATGAGAACCAGTTTCTCCGGGATAATGCTGTGAGAAATGGTGTCAAAGCCTTTACTAACATCCAGGTAGACCACATCCACAGCCTTTCCTGCGACCACTAAGTGGGTCGCCTTGTCATAGAAGGAGATCAGGTCAGTTAAGCAGGACTTGCCTTTCATAAAACCATGCTGACTGGGCCTGATGACCTGGTTGTCCTGTACATGCTGTGTGATGGCACTCAAGATGATCTGCTCCATAACCTTCCCTGACACTGAGGTCAGGCTGACAGGCCTGTAGCTCCCCAGATCCTCCTTCTGGCCCTTCTTGCAGATGGGAGTCACATTCACTAACCTCCAGTCAACTGAGACCTCCCCGGTTAGCCAGGACTGCTGATAAATGACGGAAAGTGGCTTGGTGAGCACTTCCACGAGCTCCCTCAGTACCCTTGGGTGGATCCCATCCAGCCCCATAGACTTGTGTGTGTCCAAGCAGTGTAGCAGGTCACAAATCATTTCCCCTTGGATTACGGGAGCTTCATTCTGCTCCTTGTCCCTGTCTTCCAGCTCAGGGGGCTGGGTGCCCAGAGAACTGGTCTTGCTACTAAAGACTGAAACAAAGAAGGCATTAAGTACCTCAGCCTTTCCCTTATCCTTTGTCACTATGTTTCCCCCCTGCATCCAATAAAGGATGGAGATTCTCCTTAGCCTTCCTTTTGCTGCTAAGGTATTTACAGAAATACTTTTTTATTGTTTTTTACTGTAGTAGCCAGATTAAGTTCTAGCTGGGCTTTGGCCCTTGTAATTTTCTCCCTGCATAACCTCACATCATCCTTGTAGTCCTCCTGAGGTGCCTGCCCCTTCTTCCAAAGGTCATAAACTCTCGTTTTTTTCCTCAGTTCCAGCCAAAGCTCTTTGCTCAGCCAGGCCCGTCTTCCCTGCCAGGTCATCTTTTGGCACATGGGGATGGCCTGGTCTTGTGCCTTTAGGATTTCCTTCTTGAAGGATGTCCAGTCTTCCTGGACCCCTTTCCCCTTCAGGACTGCTTCCCAAGGGACTCTGTAAACCAGGCAGATTTTCAGATCCCGCTTCATCTTTTCCTGCTTTGCCCACACCATGAAAACAAATACAGCATTTATCTCTCCATCTTCATATGGGGTAAAACAACAGCCAAGAAATTGAGTGCAACCAGGAACTAATCTGGCAGGAGCAGAAAGACATGAATCAGTAGACAAGTTTTCCTCAGCCTCACCATCTCTCAGATTAAAACAATAAATTATCTACTTCCCAAGATTTTTTTGACATTTAACTGCAACACGGTAACTCAGCAGCCTAAGATCCATTTTCATGTGAGTCAGAAATCTAGGAGAACACAAAAATATGTTCATAGACATTCTTTGCAGGATGTAGGCTTTTAATTTGCTTGAATACCTTTAAAATTCTAAGGAAGTCCTACTATAAGCAAGAGGTTGTAAGGGAAGATGCTAATTAATGAGGGAGGCTCAATATTGTTTTTTTTCCTTTTCAAGCAGTGTCTTAAGCTCAAGATTATTTAGAATACCAGAATACTGGGTGTGGTGGGTTCACCCCAACCAGCAGCTAAGCACCCACACAGCCGCTTGCATACCCTCCCACCCCATCGGTAAGGGGGACAGAACTGGAAGAGGCTGAAAGCAGGGCTTGCCACAGTACAGCTTGTACCAAACAAGAAGAAATATTTTTACATTTGAACACTATAAAGTCATGTGTGAAAGGCTCACACCACTTTCCTTGGAGCTTTCACTCCATTTACTTAAGAACACCCCCAAAGCTGCATGCATAACAGTTCCAGGTTGTACTTGGTTGCTTCCAGACAGGACTGATTGCAACCTTCACCTTGTTCAATTTCCACGAAACCACTAAGAAAATGAAAGCACCGGGTAATGGAGATTCTGCTTTTGCAGGTGACTGTAAAAAGGTTTTGTGAAAAGTATTTGTTTAAAAAGTAACCCACAAGAGAATTGTTGAGCACCGGCACTTCTCCTTGATCTCAATGGGAATTGCAGGTGTTCACCACTTCCCCAGGGCAGACCCTAAAATGTCAATATCTCCTTATCTCAGTGCTATGTGGTGACTGTCCCCAAGTAACTGGGTGGTGAGGAATGCACTGCAAAATTTCAGAGTCCATTTAGTGGAGGCTGCATACTCGAATTGCAGTCTGTTGTGATCCTTTTGGCATCCGTGCAGCTCAGATGACAGTGCAAGAAATATTGTTTATTGATCTGAGTGAGAAGGAAGAACAGCAAGAACACAGACGTGTGAGGAACCACACGCATTAAGACACATGTCAACTCTACCCTATGACTTTCACAATGCACTTGAATTAAGACAGCATTTTACAGTGTGCCATCTAACTTGACTGAAAGTTCGAGCAGGCAAAAATGTGTGAGACTGCTTCACAGGCTGATAGCTCCCTGCACTCTCATGTCTTGTCTGACTCATATGAACAAAGAATCAAACCCAAGCAATTCAAATATTAGATGAGGCTAGGACAAGAGTAGTATTAGATAATAAATAACCACACACACACACACACACGCCATTCTACAGTCTAACCTTAAAAGCTGGAGAAATTTCATTAGCTAGTTCTGAAGTGGAAGTCAAAAGCAATGAATAAGTAATTTCAATGGCTGTATGGATTTCAGTCACAGCATGTATTTTTCTCCTGAAGTAGTGCACACATGTTTCTAAATCTGCTTCTGTTTAGGTTCTAGGGTTCAGTCTTTCGTTTTGGAAACATGCACTGTCAAGTTACTTTATAGATAAAAAGCCAAGTCAGCAAATCCTTTTGTGAAACTGAAACCCACGGAATGATCCCAATGAAGTCCTGAGCTGATTAATTAGCGAGGCAGTACAGTGGGATCTGCCCTGCTGGCAAAGAACAAGATGCAAGGCCAGATGCAACTGTCAGATCTGCACTATGATACTCTGAAATCTGTCCTATTAAAGTGTGTCAATGTGCTCAATTATTTCTGCAATAAATTGAGACTCTCACAGTAATAATTTCCATTTTGAGGGGAAAATAAAAAAGGTCATAAAAAGGGTTATGTTTGAAGCACAATGCTGGCCTGCCTGGCAACCCACTATTTT